TATACACAAATAACTGACTACGACTACGTTTACACGCACTGATAAAACCGTTTTAATAACAACCGTTTTCACGAAACTAACCAATCATAAATATTCCTGTAAAGAATGGAATGACTGTGATTGACCAGTTTCATAACTTCGGTTGTTATTAAAACGGTTTTACCAGTGCGTGTAAACGTAGTCACTGTAGTACACTTTTGTTACACTCTGGCGTTTTTCTTGAAAAGCATACACTTTACACGATGTTTCCCCCACTTCCAAGAAGTGTAGTGTATTAAAAGTGTAAGGTGTACACTTTACACTTTTCGTGTATGCAAGTAAAACAAACCTAATGGCAAGGCGCGTTTCATATTATAGTTTAGTGCATGGTGTAAGAATAACACATGGTGGAAGTATACATGGTGTGCGCAGTTTGCGTCTGTCTTTCTTTAAAATCTCTCTTCTCTGTCGTTTCTGTGTCGCAAAATACGCAGGCTTGCCAACTGAGAAAATTTCCATGTTTAGCTTTGCAAAGTCTGTACGACTGATTCAACTATCTTTGTCGTACCTTCATGTGCGTTCTATTCATCTCTTTCTCATGTACAGTTACTGTACATGAGAGAGTACAGTTATAAAAGCATGTTAAAATTATGTGTTATTATTCTGACATTTACCCATTATAATAACTTTTTGTTTCACTATTTTTATGTTAATTATTACAAAAAATAAAAAAATATATTATATAATATATATGTCCGTTTATCTGTACTAATAATTATTGTAACATAAAAATAGTAAAACAAAAATTGATCATGAGATGAAAATGTCGGAATAATAAAACGTAATTTTAATTTTTTAAAGAAACAAGTTTGTAAGATAAAATAATTACATATATATAAATGTATAAATAAACAATAAATAAATATATAATAATACATATATATTTCCAACAACTATACATACATATACATACAATATATACATATATAAACACACAATAAAGATTGTATTACAATATATATTTGTACAGATTTACAGATTTACAACTTATGATATAATACATTACAAACTATAACATAATATAATACAATATAATAATTAAATATTATAATTTTTTATTGTTATATATTTTTATTTCGCCGTCGTTTTCTTTGACACAAGTTTTTTAATTTTTTTTTTTGTTTTTGTTTGTCGCTTTCTGTATAAAATCTTGCATTAATGTCCCTTACTTCATACGTGTTTTGACAGGAAGTTGAAATTTGTTGTAAATCACTTTGCAGTTTATGCGAATGGTATCGCTATTGCTAAAAACGAAAAAATAATGGTTATTAGAAAATTATAACAATATAAGTAAGATTGTACATTGTATTAATATATAATACATCTATTATTATTTACTGATATTCATATAGTTACCTGTTTTCTGTTGATGACAAAAACAATGTCGGGACTGCACTGTAAATAAGCATCCGTCTTCGAATGCCACTTCTTTCACGATTCCTCTTTCCCTTCAAGAATGAACTTTCCGTAAAATGTGCAGAACAGATTCTTGCTGAAAATGTAAATGATGTAAACACAAATTATTAATGTTTAAAACGGATAAGAATGTTTTACACAGAGATGATCCTAACCATTCTCGATTATTTAACGTGATTTATTTATGTTTTTTATCTTAACCAAAAAATTATCTCTCGGTTTAATAAGTTATTATTTTTTAACATAATTTAATAAGACTTTTTATTTTTTAACATAATTTAATAAGAATTTTTAATAAGACTTGCAGAACTTACCATTTTTACTATTTGTAGGTAGATGAATTTCTCCAATTTTTCGAATCCATCCTTCACGCATTACAGGATTTTCCGGCAATTGAAAGAAACTTATTTGTTNTGTTACACACGTTTCTCTGGTGTTTTTGCAACATTTTACTACGCAGCGTACCATATTTCATAAATGTACTATAAAACTCGATTTTCGTATTCACTCGCGTATTTTTCACTCTTTGCTTGTCTTCGAAATCTCGCACAATTCAGACACGTTATTTTAAAACGGTAATATACAGAGAGAGAAAGAAAATGAAATCACGGAACGTGCGACAAAGATATCGTTAACGCAGTCGCGGCAACTTGCCAACGTTAAACATTTTATTTTTTATGGTTGGCAGCCCTATGTTTTTAGCGACACTTTGGCGAGAAAAGGGGCGTGGTTTAGCAAAACTGCGCACACCATGTATACTTCCACCATGGAATAACAGGTGAGTTATTCCGAAAATGCGCAGTAGCAACCAACCAGAGATTTGACCAAAATCGTAAAGCAATATGGCGGCAACGTAGTGGCATATATGTAATACTTCTATATTGCTAGTACAGTGCCGACCACAGACTTCTATAGTATACTAGACCGCTAGCTTCTTATGTACGGCTGGCTACAAAATCTATGTACTTAAGTCGTTATGGAGGGGAAAGATGGGGGTACTAAAGAATGCAAGATGGCCGTCATGTTTGACAGCTGATTGAGTTTTAAGGTTTTTTTCTTTGTCTGCCTTATTTCGGCAGCCAAAAACAACAATATTTTGGCATATTGGTTTTCGTTTCTTTTAATGTGTGCTTTATGCCGTCAACTGCCATATAACCTTCACGATGCTCACAGACTTCTATATACTACACTAGACCGCTAGCTCGCGTGATTTCAGCGTAGATAATGGCTACAAAATCTATGTACAATGGGGGTACAATGGAATGCGGGTTTCATTGGTTGATTTTGACGATAAGAAGAGTTCATCCAATCATTGCCTATATACTTATGTACGTGCGCGACGATGCATGCGCAGATAGCAATTCAGCAGTTCAGCATAGTGAAGGTTATATGGCGGTTGACGGCATAAAGCACACATTAAAAGAAACGAAAACCAATATGCCAAAATATTGTTGTGTTTCTGGCTGTCGAAATAAGGCAGACAAAGAAAAAAACCTTACAACTCAATCAGCTGTCAAACATGACGGCCATCTTGCATTCTTCAGTACTCCCATCTTCCCCCTCCATGACGACTTAAGTACATAGATTTTGTAGCCAGCCGTACATAAGAAGCTAGCGGCAGGGTTGGGCACGTATTATACGTGAGGTAGGTATTTTACATTGTATTATACTTGGTATTATACAGTATAATACATCGCTTAGTTTTATACATATTTATACTTCGTGTGGCGCCATCTCTACATCATGTGTATAGTAAATTTTTAAGTCCAACATCCATGATCCATGTTGCTAGAAATCGGTCCGAGATTTTGGTTCAAAAAATGTATAGCCAATCAACTTGCAGTTTTTAAGCGGAAAACAGCAATTTTATTACTACGTTAGTCAATTGTGATAGAATTTTGATGGTTAAAGAAACATCATTTCAAAACTGCAAGCAAATTGTAACTTTTGTTAAAGTTATCCAAGGAAAGACCTTCTATTTAAAGTCATGGGATATTTTGTGCAATTTAAAAGAAATAATGAACCACTACATATAATTAAAACTAAATACTCTATCATGATTTATTCTGTAATCACAGATCAAGATTATCATACACTAAAAACTAGTGAACAAAATAATTTGTGGTTTTTAAATTGCAACTTATTCTTTGCATTATCATTAGAAAAAGTATTATTAAATAAAAATTTTGTAGATAAGGTTTGTTATCTGCTTGTTGCATTCTTAGATTTGAAAGAAGATTTATTGAAACGTGATGGAGCAACAATTATATTATCGAATACTACCTCTTGCGATAATTTGCATGATATGTATGCATCTTGTAAAAAAAATTTAGCAGCTATGAGACAAATTGTCGGCGAAAATGTATATAAATTGAAAAGAACTGTTGTCAGTATACTTTCCGACGAAACATTCGAGCAAGAATTACACGATTNTTTGGACTTGTATGGATCAATACGTTCAATTATAGAGAAATGTGAAAATTCATGTACAACATTTGCAGATATTGTTGAAGATTGGTTGACTTTAGAAACATTAAACAACAACCTCACTTATCGAATTAAGGCTAGTATTAATAAAATAATCACTCCAATTGCATTGGCAGCAAACTTTTGTCATCTAAATTATCAAGGAATTTTATGTGTAATGGCCCTTACAGGATAAAGAAATTTTTGAATTTTTAGTACTTTTCTATTCTAGGNCAATCAACAAGCTTAAANACTTTGTTGACAAATGTANTTTGCATTTCTACAAACATAATAGTATACTTNAATAAATATTATACGTTTTATACGTATTTTATACGTTTTTTACGTATTTTACCGTAAAAAACTGTAAAATGTAAAAAACTCTAGATAATGCTCGAATAACCCAACCCTGGCTAACGGTTTAGTATACTATAGAAGTCTGTGACTATGCTGAACTGCTGAATTGCTATCTGCGCATGCATCGTCGCGCATGTACATAAGTATATAGGTAATGATTGGATGAACTCCCCTTATCGTCAAAATCAACCAATGAAACCCGCATTCCACAGTACCCCCATTGTACATAGATTTTGTAGCCATTATCTACGCTGAGATCACGCGAGCTAGCGGTCTAGTGTAGTATATAGAAGTCTGTGGTGCCGACCTGAAGCCCAAATGTTACGGTGCAGACAATATAGTAGCCTCTCTCTCGCGCAAGGTCCAGCTGCTTTGTGCGCATGCGGTGAACATTCAAGCACGCTTGGGCATTTCTCTTTCTCGCGTTCTTTCTCTCACTTTCCAATGCTTTGTCTCGCTCGCACTCGTTTAGTAGACGCGCCTGCGCATAATGACGCTCGACTATCTATGCCCGTATTTGGACTTCGTGCGTCTCCCTTTCTCGGGCCTCGTGTCTCTCATTGCGAAGATACGCGACTAGCAATATAGAAGTATTAAGAGCCGTCTACAATGGAGAGTTGTAGGCCGTAATAGTAAGAATTTGACCAATCACAGACAAAGTACAGAAGAATAATCGATTGTGATTTGTCAATTTCTTACTGTTACGGCCTACAACTCTCCATTGTAGACGACCCTTTACATATATGCTAGTAGGTTATATCAGGTTAGGTTATGTGATGTTGTCACATCACAAGTGAAGGAGTGTTTAGGCTTGATCAAAATTTGGGAAATAAGATAATAAGACACTGAAAATATGTATACGATCGATGAGAGGACTTAAATAGAAACGCTTGTTATGAAGTTTTGCTAACAAAAGTGTTGGATTTTGTGGCGTACATGCAATACAAAGAGCAAAAATTGAGCAAATAACGTTGTCAAGTAACGTTGTAATACTTGGCATGGATTATGCAACGGTCATCGACGACGCAATCAAGCAGTTTTACTCGGCAGGAAACAATGAAGCTCATTCATGGCTTCTGCAGGTGCAAACCTCTCCCGAAGCGTGGCACTTTGTGTGGCAACTTTTGGAGCCTTCCAAGGTCTTTACATCACTAAATTATATTACTGATTTAGTTTTTGTACATAAAACTTCTAATTTAGTTTTTTATTGCATATACCTTTTAATTTACTGCAAAGTTTTTTATTTTGAATAATTGCTTTAAAAATGGCAAAAAAATTGTTTCAGTAACATGATATCAGTTACATCTGAGTCAGATTTGCTTGGCGTTATATAGTTTTCTGATACAAATAAAGTAATAAAATATAATAAAAACAGAAAGTAGAAAAAAAATATTCAGACATGTTTTTTTATTAGGAAAAATAATAGATATTTTGTTTCGCATACTTTTGCAGGGATTTGAAGTACAGTTTTTTGCTGCAACAACTTTGCATACAAAAATATCCAAGCACTGGAATGAAGTGCCTGAAAATGAGTATCCAGTATTGAAGGAACGTTTGCTCAATAGTGTGAAAAGGCCCAATACTCCCATCTTTATTCTTACAAAGCTTTGTCAAGCGGTAATATATTTTTTCATATATATTGTTTTAAAAAGGAATATATTATAAATAAGAAATCAACTGTTCATTATTTATTATGCCAATTTTAGTTGTTATATTTTGATTTTAGTTAGCTGCATTTGTAGTCAATATTTATAATACAGAAAATAAAGAAAAGAATAGGAGTATAGTTGATAAATTGCTTGACATTTTACCTTATAATTCTCCATCTGCATTGGAATTATTGCTTCGAGTACTTTCTACACTACCTGATGAGGTAAAACAAAAAAGTCTTGTTTTTTTATCATTTTTGCTTTTTGATAATAATCATGTTATTATTTTTTATCAGTATAAAAAAACACAAGCAAAATGTGCCAAATTACGAGAGGCTGTTGTTCACAACGTCTTAAACAACAGCTGGTGCCAAACTGCATGGTTTCTGCAACAAGTTTTCTCTATGTGTAATCCAAATTCTCAGGGCAATGACAGTATATTATACTCCTTGGGACTAGAATGTGCACAATTGTGGCTTCAGAGTGGTCAGCTGCCTCTAGAGGCAAGTGGCCAAATCTATCCCTATTTATTAGTGGCTGCAGCTCATTATGCACCTAATAGGTACGCAATTAGCTATTACAAGAATTACTACGTGTGTGTGTGTGTGTGAGAGAGAATAGTTGTAATAGTTATAATAGTTGGTTATAAAACTTGGTTATATATAAGAATAATAAAAATATACGATATGAGTGCGATTTGTCAAATAACTCGATAAAATATCCGTTTTCTCCATTAAAGAGAAGGTGGCGACGATGAAAATAACAGAAGCTGGGAAATAATACAAGATTGTTTGATGATGATTGTAACGCACAATGAACTCAATAAACGGCCTCAGACTTTATGGGAATGGGCTAGAAATTTAGTAGCGATGGCACAGCAACATAGAGAAAAATATTTCTGCGAGATTCTGACCGCCATTGGGGAGGCTCATAGTCGAGCGTTTCTGATCGCTCTGGCTGAAAATTCCAATGATATGCACACGTGGACGGCGATGGGCTTAATCGAACTGCTGTTGGAGTGCTCGGAACAAGAAGGTCGTTATCCCGTGAACGAGACGCGCAGTTGCATACCGTTTGGATTTTGGTACGCGTTACAGGACGATCTCGCCACGCTGGATCAGCCGTTAGATAGCCGGGCTTTGGAAGCATTAAAACCGATTTATTTCCGATTATCTCAGGCATTGTTGCGAAAATCAACGCTACCCGCGTCTCCGAGTGAACAGGGAAACGCGGACGACCGCGAGCACTTTAGATGCTATAGGCAGGATGCGGCGGACACATTGGACTATTGTTACAGAGTCCTCGGCAGTGACTTGTTGGAGCTTCTTGGACAAAGATTGAGTCTTAAAGATTTACCTTGGACTCACGTGGAATCCACATTGCACGCTTTTAAAGCTCTAGCCGAGAGCGTTGGTACTCGAGAGTATTGTTATACTCCTGCCTTGATAAATCTGATTCTCCTTCACATACCTTATCACGCTTATCCGGAAGAGGTGCGTATTGTTCCCGAATGATTGAAACGCACAGACATGATATTCTTAAACTTTTTAAAATTTACAACTAATACACACAAGCAATATTTTTTTCAAACATTGTTAAAACAAATAACATTTATTTAGAAAAGAATATTCTGGAATACTCTTTTTTTATCATATATTATATCTTATCTCAGAATATTTTCTTTTGCAATATACATTTTCTTCCTATTACATATATTACAAAGAAAATATTACAAATGTAACACGTATTTGTATAATAGCGATGTTCACAAACGGTCATCACCAGGTATTAACATGCGCCTGTTCAACGCTGGGCGCGTACGCCGAGTGGATAGGAGAACATCCAGAACCTTGGCTAGAGAAAGTGCTGGAACTTGTTACCCAGGGATTGACCAGAGGCTCGATGACAGCGCCGTTTGCGAGTATGGCGCTGAAGGATTTGGCCAGAGAATGCGGACCGCATCTTGCTCCTTATGCACCGTCCGTTCTCCATACCATCAGTCAGATTCTGCCAAATGTCGAGCCTGGCGGCGGGGAAGGTCTGCGACTTATATATGCCGCGGGCAAACTTCTTAACGTTTTGCCTACTCTAGAAGAACAACTGATGCATCTGGAAGCGACGCTGGGTCTATGCGTGACGAAAATAAAAGAGCTACTGGGACAACCGTTGTTCACAGCACGAGTCGGTGTTACAAATTACTTGAAGATGGTCACCACATTTTTTACTACTATCGAAGGCGCAATCGGCAAGGCTGTGCTAGATGGCGTGTTACCGATATTCAATCAAATTGTTGTACATCCCGAGTGGAGTCAAGACAATGCTACATTAGAGGCAATGCATACGTGTGCGCAACGTTCGTTATCGGCTTTACGGCAGCCAGAAACAGAAGCACGACCTTTGTTACCGATTTTATTAACTTCCTATAAGATCTGGCCGCATCCAACTGCGTTGCATTTATTGAAACAGCTCGTATTGCTGTTTGGTAAAGATCCAGACAATATTGTTGGACCAGTCCTCGCAGAAATGAGTTCAATTACGTTAAATGGTGTGAAGGCGTGTAGGTCAGTGAACGGTGACCTGTCCGAGTGGTCAGACCTGATGGAAGCATATTTAAGTGTGCTCGCGCAAATTTGCAAAAAAAACGCTAGTATGTTGTTGCAAATTCCAGACCAAATACCAGATATGTTGCAATGCGGTAAGTTTATGTACAAACGTATCGTGAATAAATCCTTGAAGATACAAATTTTGCCATATACAATGTAATTATTTCTTCAACGTGTTATTTATTTTTGCAGGAGTTGCTTGTCTGACGCTCCCGGAAATAGCTACGGCCAAAGCAGCTGGCCATTTTCTCAGTCATGCGATCATACAAAGTCCACACCTGCAAACATTTGTACAACCAATCGGGCAAGAACTTGTTTCCGCAATTTTGCATTGCGTCGGTACGTCAAAAATATTAATAATCGAAATCCATTGTTCTGCAAAATCATCAAATCAACTGTGTTCGCTTTCAATTGTTTATGTATTTCTGTTTTAATATCTCTTAGGTGGAGGTGTATCGTGTAACAGTTTGGAGCCTCATGCCGAAGTTTTGTTAGCATTAAATAAAATGTGTCCAGAATGGACCGCGCAGTGGATACGTGCAGGATTAGAGAATCAAAAAATTCTTGCAGCCGTTATGTTGGAGAAGGATAACACTATACGTGTTTTACGTGAGAGGAAGAGCAGGATAATACTTTGCGAAATATTAAAACAATTTAGTATTGAGTGTCGTCAAAAAACGGGACTGTGATGATAAAATTTTCGGAATGATAAAATCGACGAGTATCATGACGAATATAAAGTAATCGAAGTTAAGGCTTCTAGATACTTGCTGCAGCCATCTTAGATGATAATATAATATAAACCCACTTTAATCAATAAAGCGTAACTTATAGAATTTACCAAATACTTTTTTCTGAAAAGGCGATTTCTTCATCAAACATATAATATATCATGCATATAAATTACATTCAGTAAATTTTTGAGTCATTTCACTATGCCAATCGCCTCTATAATGAATATAGTGATACTGAACAACTGCAAAATCATCTTTTGCTACTAAAAAAGATACACTTCAATTAACATTGACAAATCTCAAACTGAATGCCAGGAAGCATATCTGACATCAAAACTTTTATTACATTTTGATGACATTGCTTTTGTCTTCTTTCCTATATATTACATTTATCAATGCAAGTAAATAAAGAAAGAAGTTTTCTCGAAGATGCTTTATTGATTAAAAGATTTGTACAAAAAATGTTTTTTATTTTGTAACGTGAATTGTACAATAGGAAGTTTAGATGTGTATATTTCCTCGTTTTCAACATCTCAAAACTAACTGCAGCAAATATCTATGAAAACTTAGATAGTATTATAATACGCAGAAGTTGACACGTATAACTTTTTTTTTTTAATAAAACCGCTGCATATCGTATGTAATTATGTTTCGTACAGACATTTTGCATTTGCTTGAAAGTAAGGTACGGCTTTACTAATCGCACGATAGAAATATTCTGTATGATTTGCGAACTGTGAATAATTTACTGACTGCGCAGGTTAGAAAAGGACCGACCTTTAGAGGTACTGATATGACAATGATTATTACATTTTTGTTTCGGTAATTAGCTAGATATTAACGGATAAAGATGTATAGAAAGAAAAGCTGATCCTGTGTTCCGCAGTTTGCAAATCGTTTGAGTGTACATACTCTAATGTGTCAAATATATTCTGTCATATGGTACAAGATGAAAATCACAAAGAACAAAAAACCAATTTGTAATGAAAATAAGTGAGAAAATGTATAAAATACAAAATCAAGAAAACTACACACTACATATCTAATTTTGTTTTTGTTTCGGAAAAAACGTGTGTAAAAAAATCACCTTCTATGATAGATCTATAAAAGTTACTTCGAAATCTTTATTTTTGTGCAAGAATTTATAAAAGTAAATATAATAAACATTTTAATTTAGAATTGATTCCTTGAAAAAGTTAAAATAAAAGAATTACAAATCTGGAAACTAATTTTAAATGTAACACAAAATTACATTTTAAAGTATATTCTAGCAATCACTAAGGTTTTTATTACAAGAAAAATAAATATTTTGTAGTTGATTGTTTTTTCTGTGCTGTTCATACCGTTTATAATGCAAAAAAAGGAAATACAGAAATAATTGTTAAGGATATGAATCTGTTTTCTGCTTATAAATATAATTAATATCATATCTTCTAAATATCTTATATGTGTAATGCATATATAATTTACAATTATATTTGCATATTATTTTGTGTGTCAACATGCGTGTATATAAATCATGCTACAATATAAATAAAAATTCGCATGTTCTTTCTTTCGAACCACATGCTTGCGTGTTATATTATTACTATCATTCTCAGTATCATCACGAGGCAAAATAAATTGTCTGCATCCGCACATCATCAAAATAAACTAAAAACTTATTTCACATAATTAGATTTAAGCATATTATATTTCTTTTCACTAATATGAAAAACAATACAAACTAATCATAGCATGCTATAAAAAGCCAAGATAAAAACAAAAAATCACTAAAAAATGTTCGTGCGTATGATTTTTTTAGATTCTTACTATAATCTGTACATACTTGTTTCAATAGATATTACACATAATTATCATAGAAATATATTTGAATTAATAATTTGTGATGTTATATGTCGTCTATATAGATCGCGTTGTGAAATATCACAAAAATTAATAATAAAAACGGTAAATGATAACTAATCGATTGATATAGTGACATATCAATCATTTCATATTATGAATTATAGTTGCATTCAGCAGAATACCATTGTATATATGCAATGACTTGTGATGTTGAAAGTTGAAACGTTCGGAGCTACATTCAGCAGAAAATTATAAACAATTACGCAAAAATAAATAATAAACGTTTGTGTGCTACTAAACGCGACCATAACGAAAAAAAAGAAAAAGTTATCGTCGTATACATAAATACATATTGCAGTACATTGTATACAGTTCTTCTTTATCATCAAAAAACAACTTTTTGTCTTGTTATAAAATATCATAAAATTTGAAAATAAGAATTAATTGATTGACATGCCACATACAGTGTGAGATATAAAATCAAAGGGACTAACAATCAGCGTTGCCGTGGAACTTGCGGACGCGTGACGTCACGCAGTAGAGAGGTAGAGAGGTACGACTCGCGTCGTACTCTTCTCAACAATCGTAAATTATTTTCTCTACCGCGTGATGTCACGCGTCCACAAGTTCCACAGCAACGCTGCTAACATCGACTAATCATAATTCTCAATTTTTACGTTGTACATTACATGTATATATGTACACTTGATTTTCACTTAGTACGCTTAGGTAGGTATATGTAAGTACAAAAAATATTGATACGATACAATAACGTTTCCAAAATAATAGATAATAATTATACGTAATAAGAGCTGAGATTTTAATCACTTCCGGTTAAATAAATCGGTCGTCGATTAATACAAATAAATTGGTCGCATTGATCAATTATCGATTTAGTCATTTCTATGTTGAATCGATGAACCGATTAAGTTAATCGGAGTTAATTGAACTGGCTTTAAGAGTCATTAGTTCAAGCAAAACTTTCGAAAGAAATTTTGCTTTTATTATAAAATGTAGAAAATGAACAAAAGAGTATAACTCGCAGTATAATTAATCTTATATTTACATTTAATTTGCAAAAGCTTATCTATCCAATGATAGTTTTTTACTTAGACGGTTCACCGCCATTCATTAGCGGTTGCGCACCGAATTTTGCGGCAACACGCGATTTCCTGGGCTTGGACAATTTTCCTACATTTTGTTGTGGTTGTTGCGACATCTGCTGTAGCACACTCGATGCTGTCTCTTTCATTTTATTTGGATTCTCTGATTTTTCTTTCTAAGCACAAGAAAAAATTAACAATTATTCATTGCCAACTCTAGTTGAAATGATGAAAAGGAAAACATTTAAAACATTTATATAAAAACCTTGGGTGACGCTTCTTCTTTTTTCTGACGCTGTTGTGTCTTAGAACTTGAGTTCTTGGCAGTTGTGTTTGTGTCTTTCGGAATTTGCTTTGCACTCATGTTTCTGCTGTTCTTTTGTGCCTGTAGTGGAACAAACGCGGTGCTATTTTTTCTTTCTACTTTTGATTCTTCTTTTTGAGAATTTTTTTGTTGTCCTTGTTTCATTTGCTGTTTCACTTGCTGATATCCTTGCTGTTTCACTTGTTGTTGCCCTTGCTGTTTCACCTGAGCGTGTCTCTTTTGATTATATAATGTAGTCTGTACAAACGCTGCAGTTGACGGCAAATTTTGATTCCATCTCGGATAAAACGTGTTACGCTGCATAGGTAAATTTTGTGAAATTGGAGATATTTTTGGAAGATTCATCACAGGATGTCTGACATTTTGGACCCAAATATTTGGTTGACTATTATACCACTGTTGCCTAGGTGCCATTATCATTTTTGCATCAGGTGCCTTATTCAAATTCAACGTCTGATGTGAATTACACATTAATGAAAATACAAAGTTATTAACTTTTTTTACATACTTCTATATAATATACACATCTTATATTTATATGTGAACGTTACCTCATATACTTTTTTTGCAACACTTTCTGTGGCTTGTTCATGAGTAGCGCAAGGATCGCCTGTATAAACTTTCGAATTTTCCAACATAATGCGAGCAGTAATTAAACCCGTTTTTTCATCAAGAATATAATTATATTTTGGTAGTCCAAATCTACTTTGTGAGAAGTGTCTCATTAGTTGTGAAGTATACCAAACTGAATTCGCTTTTTCCTTCTTTTCTTCTGCCCGTCGAGCACGCTGAGAAAAAAAATAAATTATATATATATGTATATATTTTTTTATTATACAATTGTAAAAATGAGATACATTAGATACGTTTGGGCGATTACTACGTACATCAAACAATTGTTGCACTAACGGTGGAGGTTTCGATGTTTGATCCTTTTGAGAAATTGCTACTTTCCGAGATGACATTGTATTTTGCGTGGGCATCTTGTTTTGTTGCTCACTCGTTTGAGTATTTACATCGGGAATCTTTAACAAAGCTTTCAAAAATGCACAAGGATCCTGCGACTACAATAATAATGATTTGTTTACTATACGTAATAGAGTACATTGGACGTAACAGTCAACTTACCGACTGCATAATATGATTGGTAGATGGTTTAATTTTCATTGGCATTGAAAGTACCGTTGGTTTCTCCGGTGCCTCATTAGGTTTCTATTGTGAAAAATATCTATACAATTTTCATTTAAAACAGTTTACAAATTTGAATTATGATAGATATCATACTGTACCTGTATTTTGTGCAATTCATCCCACAGCGCTTGGAATTCGGACGCTTGATTAGGAGTCGGTGTATTTTGAAAATGTTGAGGTACTATTTTTTGAGATGTTATTTTCGAATTTGACCCTATCTCACCGCGCTGCATCATACTCATACGAATATCTCGACTTAATTTTTCGAGTCCTATTTTAGCAAGTTGCATTTGTGGATGAGAAAGTTTGTCGCTTTTTTTGTTAAAACTTGTGGTATTCGATATCGTTTGCTTTCTACATTCCGTCAATTCGTTCATTACATTTCCTTGTTCAATTCTTTCGCCAAAGCTAATATTTATGAAATCTGAGGCAGTTAAATGATAACCCCGAACTGCAGAACATCCATTTAACGCAAGTCCGCCTACAAAATACATTTTATATTCGTATTAAAAATATATTATACGCAAATGTATAAATATATGTATATTTCACTTTTGTACGTTAAAACAAAATTGTATGAGATCATAAAAATTTTGTATAAAGTATGACGAATAAGCACAGCATTGTCTTTACCTATAAAAGGTTTATCGAATAAAACATCATACACGGTATCTGTCGCATTATTTCGTGTTCCTATGATAGTGCCTTTGGTTCCAAGCGGCACAGTAAAATCATTTCTGACACAACAAATTCTATCAAATAAACGATTCTGAGAATTTGGATCGGGTGGCACATTAGGCAAATGTAATCCTGGCTTGAACAGTAACTGAGGTTTCACTTGCATGAACATTATCTTGGGCTTGGAATCCTCTGATTTCAGATATTTATTTACTTCCTCCTCAATCTCTTTTACCAGATCCGGTTCAAGAGCATCCATGCCACAGGTTCTACTTTCCATACCACGTAATTCTTCTTTTAGCCACGCAATTGTTTCTTGTAGCTCCTTTGAACTGTAATATACAAGGTTGTTACGTTACTCACATAATTTTTAATTAATTAATAAAAGCAACGTACTCCGTCTTGCCGAATAGCTCCTCTTCTTGGAAAATGTCAGTCATTACATTCTGTTGCAGACGATTGAACAACTCAGGACATTTCTCCATATAGGCGCGGATCAATTGGACAGCTTTTGGACTATACAGCCATTGACCATTATCTTTTCTAGTATAACCAGAAACCTATAAAAGTTTTAATAGATTATGTAAAATATACCAAATAATTTAAAAAATTGTAAAAGCAATACTTACACATACACATACATTATATATTTACAAAATTACATTTAACTGTAAAACAAATTTGCATATTTATACGTGACATTTCTTACCTCTTCGTTCTTTTTATTAAACTTCAAATTTAATCCGACATTATGCTTAACAAATTCCTCATTTGCTGCTTGTATAACATAAATCGTTCCAGTAATTCTGCTTAAAAGATGACTACTTATTCCAAGACGTTGTGCAGCAGTACTACCATGCATGTAACGAGTCTTTTGTTGCAGATAGACTTGTTTAACATGATCAAATATTGGTTCTTTTGCAATCTTTATGGAAACTTTAATTCTTCGTTTCTGATTGTCTTTATTTTGCATGACCTACAAATCCATAAAAAATTCAAAACAAATTCAACAAATTATCATTTTGACACATGTAACTGACCGAAGTAAATATAAAAGAAATATAAAAATAAAAAAGTACAAAAAACACATTAAATGTTTTAATGTTTTAAAACAAAACCGACATTAAATGATATAAAACGACAAACAATGCAATTGTACCTCTCCCATTGCACCATAATAAGGATGTCCCAACATGAAACAAAAGGTTCCTGGTATAAAGATATTATGCACTGATTCATAAACAGGTGGTTTCGTACGAAAGGTGGAAATGTCTGTAACTATAGTCTGATAAGCGTAAGGTACAATAAACTCGCTCCATTGTTTCTCCATCATTACTTTTCCATGATCATCAAAAACATATCTGTTACCCAAGTATAAACGAGCGTGAAGCAATACGCTGGTATCGCCTATGTCTATTCCGCGACGTAACATATGTCTAAAAACAAATATTATAATATCTTGCCCAACCATCAACTTTATCAAAAACAAAGAAAACCATCTTACGTTTCTTTGATAGTTTTCTTTTCTGCATTCCAATCTGTTAGCATGTTCTTCATATTCTCTTTCTTGATATTATCAGGATTATAACCATCTAAGTGATTAATCAAAGTAATTCTCATTTTACTATCGGACACGCTAACCACAAGAGCTTCCTTCAAATTAGGCCACTCCACATACACACTTTTTCCTAACAATTCTGACGCTAAACTTTCTAAATTTGGCGTCTCCTCTGATTCTATGCGTAAAATCATATTTTCTCCCGACGATGCTTGTTGAAATACTTTTACCTTTCATTAAAAAAAAATGTAGACATAAATACATTTATAATAATTTAAATTTTGAAATATTTAATAATTTAAATTTTGAAATTTACTAAAGTTTATACCTTTGCTTTTTCTAAGTGTGCTGTATGTCGTAAATGTCGCATTGTAGGAAATCCTGGGTAATACAGGCTAAGATCAAAACCTGGAGACAATCCTCTAATCAATTTTTCTCTTAGCACGAAAATATCGTCGCGATGTAGTAATTGTACTTGAGCATGACTTGTAAATTGTGGAAAATATATCGTTTCCTGGTAAACATTCTGAATCTCTTCAGTATATGAATACAGGCACATTGGCCCATGTTTGTTTCTCGCTTGCTCCTCTGTTGTTAACTTGGATAAGTGGGGTTGCATAGCTGTTGCATAGATAGAAATACAGAGAGAAGAGATTTAAATATTCATATCTTAAATATTTCAAACGTTATTTGAAAAATGTGTGAGAATGAAATTATTTATATTGTCAATTAATAGAGAATCTTTAGGCTTTGAAGTTTCTAAACTAGAAATACATGTATAGACGTTCATAAGAGCATGTATAGACACAACATGTATAGACGGTCATAAGAGCCGTTCGCTGGATGTTGTGCGAAAATTGTGTGTATATATATACGTGTGTGTGTGTTCACGTGTAAATCTTACACGTGAGTTTCTGAATTGAGATTTCAATTCTTAAATTCATATAGAATGCTATATTTGCATCTCAAATATGAGAGACCTCGTATACCCCTCTAATTTTAAAATATTGCAAAAAAAACTCCTCAGCCAGGAATCGAACGTGGAATCTCCGGCTTTCCGTGACGTCGCCTTTCCCATTCGGCCATCGAGGCACTTAAAGTTTGTCTCGCAATAGTTTTTTCGCAATATTTTAAAATTAGTTAGGTGGAAGGCTCACGTTTGAGCAGAAAACGTTTTCACATACATGTATTGATTTCGAATATAATTTTTTTATATGTACTGTTTTTAATATTTTATATAACACCTAACTTAGCTCGATATTGACCTTTTATTCGTACTTTATTAGTTAGGTGGATATACAAGTCTCTCATATATGAGATGCAAATATAGCATCCTATATGAATTTAAGAATTGAAATCTCGATTCAAAAACTCACATGTAAGATTTACACGTGAATACACACACACGCGCGCATATATACATATACATACATACATATATATATATATATACACGCATATTTCCGCATAACATTCAGCGAACAGCTATTTGTTATTATTTCAAAGATAGAAAAACAAAAAGATCTTACATACCCGCCAACAACTGTTTCTCATCAATGAATGGAATAAGTACAACTGCTTCCCATTCTTGTTGCTTTCCATTTAAATCAGTTTTAAAATTATTTGGATAATAACTGATAATAGGTGAAGATTCCTCTGTTAAAAGTGATTGAAAAGCTTCTGGTAAAAGATCTTTACTGTACGCTGGTAATACAGCTAATAATTGTTGAAAAGGTAAAAAAGGTTCTCCTAAGTCGAATTCCAACTTCAAATTTTTAAAGTCTTTTATATCAGAAATATACGGAGCATAGTGATGAGGATAATACCACGACCAGCTGCAACAACCGTGATAATAATAATGCAAATTCCATTGTATCGCCCTCACATATCCTTCTGCTTGAGAACGCAAAACTTCCCTAAAAATAAAAAAAATATTTCACACATGAAAATGATTTGATTATACAATTTTGTGGATATTGTCAAAAATATTGTACATACACATCTTACACACACGTACTTAAAAGTTATTTAGCATATATACAAAATTAATACTTACGCATCAACATTATCATATTCTAATTTGTTCATATAATAATCTTTCTTATGTTGTACAAATTCCATGGTATATACTTCACTATCAGATTCATCATCAATCATATCCATGTCCATCAAAAAGTCATCAAACAAGTCATCATCGGAATGATCTAAACACTGCATTATAAAATGTTGAAGTGTTTGTCAGTCTATATACGCACTCTATTTAAAAGTATGTAAATGATTACCATATCCGTAGTACTTTTAATTAGAGCATCTAAATCTTTATTTTTTGTTTTTCTCGGAGATACAATCTCGTCATCTTCTGTTTTATAAACAAGACGTTCAGATTCATTAGATTTTCTACCCGTCTTACTTTCAAAATACTTTAAATCGGCATAATGTTCTTTAAACTGTTCTACATCTAAACTACTGAGCTTTTCCATAAACTTTTCAAAATGCTCCAAGTTCAATGTGCCTGATTCATTAATATAACCTGAAATATCATTTACTCAGTACTTTGTAAAAATCTTAGATTTTCTCTATGACGTTAATAACCGCAAAACAAACCCTTTAGTGTTGGTAGCACTTCCATATATGCACGATACAAAATTGGTAATGCACCACGATTAATATGTAAATTTGGCAAATGAGGTATAAAATCGTTTCCCACAAGGAAACCCATTAGAACCCAGTCATCGATTATTTTTTCTGTATCAAATGGAAAAGGTAGCTTGTCCTTGAGTGGTGAAAATTCATGTTCTATGTATTCTCGTAACAGTGACAAGTGAAGAAGACAGAATTTTGTCCTTTCAGGAGTCGTTGTTTGTTGTTGTTTACCGAACTTAACTTCTTCTCTCAACAAAGAGAAATTTGGCTCATGAGTGCAAAGACCTAACATTATTAAATCAGCATCCAAACCATATAAACAATGTCTTGAATTACTGTCATAATCTTTACTTGCTTTCATGAATCTTATATAATCCATTATTTTATGTTCTCCTTCTCCAGGCATCTAAAAAGTATATAAACTGTTATATTCTATTAAATAACAGATATAGATAATTGAGATACACACACACACGCATGTGTGTACATGCATTGTGTACACAGTGCGTCAGGAATTCAAAGAGTAGACGCAAAGATTGGAGGGGAAGCGGGGCGTACAATTCGTACGGCGCTTGTTGGCAAGCAACCATCCTGCTTGCCCTCCGATCCCACGTCTACTCCTCGAATTCTTGATGTGCTGTGTACATACATATATAATACACATATGCACTATTTCTTCAAGACAGACAAATTCTGTCATGATTTGCATTGCAATTACAAAGCATAAAATTACCTCACATCCACTAAACATCACTTTACACTTTTTCCAATTATCATCTGTAGAAATCTTCTGTTCAATAAAACGTTTGAGCTGCTTGCCAAGCTTAGCCATAAAGGATGTTCCTGGAGTTATACAATTTGAATCAAATCTTTTCTCCTTAGGTAATACAATACCCTTTTTCATAGCTTTAATTTCTTGCATCTCCGCATCCTTGGCAGCTCTAAATCGTCGACCTCTTTGTTGATTAATTTTAGCTCTAGGTGCTACACCATCTATTGCCAAGAAGAACAATTTTTTTGGACGTATCATGTTAAATAATACTTCAATATAATGAAATATATTCTTAAATATATTTTCTTCAGTAATGCGGAAGGAAACATCACTGTCATTTGGATGTGAACATGTATGTATGATACCATTTGTATCCAAATATAAATAATCAAATTCTGGTATCTGAAAATAATAAACCAGTTTGCAAATTTTATGAAAATAACGGTGTTGAATAATAATAATAACCTCATTTTGATTTTGTACATAATTACTTAATAAGACACGTATTTTGAAGGTAAATTAAAAAAAAAAGTTGTTTACAAGTTACGAGACAACAATAAGACGAATACAGGAACTAAAAATTTACAACATATTACAATTATTCTTTTTTTATACCTGATGCTCTTTGATGAGTTCCCAGAGACATGGGTATCTTTCACTTATATACCTAAAGAACTTTGGGACACCCATTTTGAGTTCCGCACGTTGTAATAATAAGTTTTCGATTTAATCTCGTTCTTTCGGTTAGAACATAACGTTACTAACTTGCATCCGTTTTTCTCAATTGCTCTTTGCACTTGTTCGCCTGGTTTGATACGCACTGCTGCTTGCTACTACTAGTCTACTAGTATTAAAATATACACTATGGCTGCGTTCGGGGTGCACGCTATTGCGTCATTCTATCTTTGTTTTACATCTAATGAGCAATAAAGATAGAATGATGCAACAGCGCTAATAGTGCGCTCCCCGAACGCAGCCTATATATGTAAGACCTGTTCTACAATACAGACTGTGTTCCGATATTCACTGCCGGTACTAAAAATCTATACTTCACGTCACATATGCTATAGATTTTCAGTACTGGCAGTGAATATCAGAACGCAGCTACAGTCGTAAGCCGTAAGTCGTAAGAAATTGACCAATCACAATCAATAATTCTTCTGTAATTTGTCTGTAATTGGATGATTTCTTAAGAGCCGTCTACAATGGAGAGTTGTAGGCCGTAACAGTAAGAAATTGACAAATCACAATCGATTATTCTTCTGTACTTTGTCTGTGATTGGTCAATTTCTTACTATTACGGCCTACAACTCTCCATTGTAGACGGCTCTTTACGACTTACAGCTTACGACTGTATTGTAGAACAGGCCTAAGTCAAAGTACAGAAGAATAATCGATTGTGATTTGTCAATTTCTTAGGCCTGGTTTATGCGGGCCTAAGATTTTAATATTTCTGTTTATTAACAGAAGCATAACAGAATGTAACAGAAGCATTGAAATCCTATAGTTGAACTGTACCAATTCCGGCATAAATTAACAGTTATTACCCTCATAAACAAGGCCAAACCAAGGCCTTATTTGCCCGCATAAACCAGGCCTTACTGTTACGGTCTATCTATCTTACTATTACGGCCTACAACTCTCCATTGTAGACGACCCTTAAGAGCCGTCTACAATGGAGAGTTTTAGACNGTAACAGTAAGAAANTGACAAATCACAATCGATTATTCTTCTGTACTTTGTCTGTGATTGGTCAATTTCTTACTATTACNGCCTACAACTCTCCATTGTAGACGGCTCTTTATGCGTCGTCTACAATGAGAATTTAAGCCGTAAGACTTAAGCTTTAAGAAGGTATAAGACCCGTTTTCACCATCTCCGATTAACTTAATCGGTCGATTATTTTGTTGGAATCGCCAATCATATTGGTCGATTGACTAAATTGACCAATGGCAATTGACTCGCAATCGATCGGTAAGTTAATCGTAGATAGTGGAAACGAGCCTTGTACCTTCTTAAAGCTTAAGTCTTACGGCTTAAATTCTCATTGTANACGACGCATTAAGAGCCGTCTACAATGGAGAGTTGTAGGCCGTAACAGTAAGAAATTGACAAATCACAATCGATTATTCTTCTGTACTTTGTCTGTGATTGGTCAATTTCTTACTATTACGGCCTACAACTCTCCATCACAGTATATGTATAACCAGTAGGGTCACTCCGTATCGGCTCTTTTGATGTTAGCGTCCGAGATCACGTGTCATGTCGCCATGTTCTTGGTAGTAGTAGCGCGCTAATATTTAAATTGAGTGAAAAAAAAGACAACTATAGAAATTATTTTTGTTTTATAAGTAACTGCAATTCTCATATCTTCTTAAAACGATATTGGCAATTTACAAATATAACATTTAAATAATGCAAGTAATCACATAAAAATACGTGAAAAATAAGAGTATTAGTAATAATATTAAATGTATGTGTATATAAGGAATAATTTTTGTATTTACAATAAACAAGTCATATTTTTAATTTTTCTTTTATTAATAAGCAAATTGATGTAAGCATTTTGATCTACAATTAAAGTGTGTATAATATGTTATTACAATATAAATTATTGATCAATGATTCAAAATTTTTATTTTTTTCAAAAATAGATAAAATAAATAAATAAAACGTTTTCAATTTTACAATACATGTATACAAAAATTGATAATATAGAACTATATAATATTTTTAACATTTGCAAGCTACAATTTACAACTTTTTTAGAAGATAATAATTTCTTTTATTTTGTTATGCGCATAGTTTTAATTGATTTCATGTACTTAATTCGCACAGAAAATATTTTATTTTATACTTTTTTTATCCCGTACCATATAATTGAAAATATTGTATATCTGTTGTTATTATAAACGTAGATAACAGAACAATTAGTTTCTTGATGACCATGGTTTGAATATTTTGTGAAGAATTCAGTCATCTAAGAACAATATAAAAAAAAACAATATTAATAAAATATTAATTAAAAACAATATTAATTACAAGATTATATACTTTTTATTAATATTCTCAACAATATAATGATATATTAAATAACAAACTTAATGATGTAATTATAAAATTATATTTGTATTGTATTAATAAATTTTGAACAATTAATACAATCTAAAGTTACAATAAACAAAAATACAATGTAAAGTTACAATAAAGAAAAACATAATTACATAAACAAAAACATAATAACACAGTTATTATATATACGTTATTATATATACTATATAATAACGATAATACTACAATATATAAAAAACTGACATTATAATACTGACGTTACAATAAACTGAGAACAAAAACCAAATGAAACAAATGAAACTAAACATGAATTCTTAGAAAAATAAACAGTTACTATAGTAAATTATTTATGAGTCAAAATTATAATTTTTTTGTTTCTTTCTTGACTTTTGAAACGTCTATTAGTGAATTTTAATACAAAATAAAGACGAACTCTGGCATACAATGTAAGGAAATAGTTTTTTGAAAAATGTACACATGGGTGAGGGCAGCGAACTGATTCTAAAAAAGATATGATTGTACAAAGAACAGATTCATTTAAAATAAGTGTACGTAAATGAGTAAAAAAAATGTTATTTAATTGTTCTATGTAGGTCATAAATATTTGGTTCGGAACGCATAATCCGTCATATATATTTTTTTCCGTAGATTTTAATGCTTTAAATAATGTATAATATCTATTATTATCACAATTGTCAATATCTTTGGCAAAAGTTTTGCATATATCACAGGAATGTTTTTTTAAGCTCTTAGACATAAGATAACCATAAATATAATAAAATGCATTATCTTCAACAATGTCTTTTTGTCGATAATCATGATCATTAATTGGAATAGGTATATTCTTTTGCAGTGATGTATCTTGTACAAAACGTTCGGATTCAAATTGTACTATTCTATTTATCATGTCTGTTTGCAGTTCTTCGACATCTAAGGTACAATTTCCTGCCTGAACTGTACAATGACTGGTAGCAAATGATTTTCGAAAAGAATAATAAAATTGCACTGGAGTTGGATTAAATGCATTGCCTGATAAACTCCTAATATTTCCGAATGTATGTTCAATGATATCTTGGTTAATACGCCTCATTAATAAAAATTTCAATTCTGAACGAATTTCCTGTAAGTATTCCCACATTTTATTTAAGCTATTTATGTTTTGATTCCAGTATCTAAATACATTAACTTTTTTTGTAATATCTTTGCCGTTTTTTGTAAAAACTTTAAGACTGCAGAAGTATGTTTTTAATGATCTTAACAATTCGACTTGTTCTTCTGAGGCTACAAATGCATTTCTGTTGAGTTTCTTCCCTGTAAGAGATGATTAATTAAAAATATCGAAAGCAGCATCTAATTTTTCAATATATTCTGATGTATCTTTAGCAGACTCCGGCAAACGTTCAAGTAAAATCATGGTATTAATGGCACAAGCTACGGAAAAACTTAAGACTTGAGCAGCATATTTCACTTTCATCCGCTGAAAATTATTAGGATGAATGTGTGTGTCGTAAGATAATTTAGGAACTAATCTGTTTGTGTTTTCTTTATCTATTTCAAATAATTTTTCTATGTACTGCCATGACAGAATTTTATTTCCTGATTTTATAACATTGTTTAATAAATTGTTTCTAGCTGCTTTAATAAGATGTGGTGGATCAAAGAAATAAAATATTTTTTGTCCATTTACAATATAGTAAGGAGTTTTTTCAGTTACACCCAGTTGTTTAGCTGCCTTTTGATAATCTGTTCCCATATCTGTGACTTCCGCAATAACTCTTAAATTTATGTTTTGAAGCTTTGTAACACATTCAAGAGTAATAATTCGTAACTCATCGGCATTCATAGTTGAATTAAGAAAAAAATAACCAAGTGGTTGCTTAAATTTATTTGTCAAACCTCTAACCATGATTATCGCTGCATTACATGCAGGTAAGAAACTTTTGGTATTGCCAGTATCATGAAATCCAATTACTATGTCTCTATTGATCACATAAAATAAACTTGCTTTTAATGACATTGTATCAATGCAGATACAACAATATTTATCTAATGAATGTAAATTTTCAGTTTTAATCCTAAGTCTTTCAAATATAATATCATGTAAACCTGGAGAAATTATAAGTGTTTCTATTGTGCGTTCAAGTGTTCTTTTTGACGGTAAAATAAAAATATTGCTTAATAATCTATATGCTTTAGGCCCTTTAAAATATAAATTTAAACAAAACATTTTAAATGCTTTTGTATATCTACTACCATTTTTTTTCTTATTCAGATTATCTGCTTGAGCTTTCATAAAATCAGCTATCGGTTTTGGATAAAATTTGTAGAAAAGTTTTTGAAAATCATTGAAAGTAATGTCTTCTATCGTTTCATCCATGATGTAAATATACCAGGTGTATCATTCCCGTGAATGCGCAGTGGTTCAAGTAATGGCCGCTCTCCGAACCAATCAAAAATTTGCCCCAAATTTTAAAACTAGCGTAGTCACTAGCAGTGTTACAAGATAGGACAGGTTAGAACAGTGTATTACAAACAGCAGTGAACAAACGTGAGGTAAGTTAAAAATATATCATATAAATTAAATTAATGAATGAATAAATCATATAGCTTATAAAATGATCAAACAATTGTAAATTCAATGCAATTTTTTATTTGTGTACTATATATTTATTTT